CAACCAAGACAGAGTCCGAAACTTTGACGTGAACATCGGGATCTTGGTGTCAGCTTGTCTTTCATTTCGTTACAGCCGACTATACACTAACGAGTGAAATTTCTTGCCTTGTAAAATTCTCAAGGGAATTTTAACGCTACTATGCCACTAACATAATATAACTTAAGGTCTACTTTGGCTGGGGCTCAAAGAAACTGGCAGATGCGGTCAGAGGTATTGAGTTATCCAATTTTTTGTTCCTGTATAATTTCTCGGACTGGGACATTAGTCTCTAGTTTTTGGTCACACGAGAAGATCCCGCATGCTAATCATCAAGAACAACTGGTAGTTTTCTTCTGTGGTGAATGCTTTGCTACCGAATTGATGGGCTGTCGCATATTATACCCCATCATACATCAATAGAATGGAGAGCTTCTGGTGTCCACGTCTGGACCAGATAGCGGGAAAACTACGGCAATTGTGTAAAGAGAGAGATCTTACTGCCCTCGCGTCAAATTTAAAATCTAGGAGTAATACTGGTACAGATGAGTTTTTGCGCCAGTGGGACGTGGAAACGGAGTGGGAGCTGCACCTGTCACAGTCCTGATTTTGGTTCAAGTGGTGTTTCTGAAATTTCACTTCTAGAAGTAACGCAAGGATCTGATGGAGATACCCAGGACGCCGCTCCCACTAATTCGTAAGCTTACCCTGGTTATCGTCACTGGAAAGCTGTCATTCCAATCAACATCGATAATCCATCATGTATTGTGAGCTTAGATTATGGTAGGACCTTTGTCGGGAAGAAATACATGTCTGGTTTCCTACCTTGAAATTTCTTACCTTACAAGTGATGAGAGATCAAGATATAATTGTTTGAGCTATCAGTCTTTTACCCAAAATGTTACCAGCGATGCAGACATAAGATGGTTTTTGAACGGCATTTACAGGCTGAGGCCATCTCAACTGAAATGTAGATACTGTGGTTGTTCTCAACTAACCAAAGGGGTTACTGGTAGATATTTGGATGACGAAATCAGCACCACTGCTAGCTCTAATCTCAGGTCACAGGGTGCAAACTAATTGAAACAGACAACATCCGGATTGGGTTGAATTGGGATTTCTGAGTTTTTAAAAGTCTCGGGGTCATTCATGTTTAGCAAACTACTTAAGTGTTACCGTATTTTACGCCCAAATATCTATGCAAAGCATTTATTTGTTACGGTACAGACACTTTATCATGGTGGCTCGGCTCCCAGATGGATGAAGGGATAAGTCGGTTTTGGCAGAGAGTGTCACAATTGACAACCCACTGTACATGAAATGCGTCTACCTCTCCTCCCGCTAAATTACAGTAGTCTCAGGCTCGCGGCGGGCTGGAGTGCGTTTTCTGAGATACGTCACAAATCTCTTTTGCCAAACAATAGCTTTGCTCAAGCGGCATTTAAGGTGATTCAAATCACAATCAAATCACAGTTAATTAATGGAAAGGGGTAGGTTTGCGTCAAACAACGGGAATGCTTTCTATCCGCGAACGTGTGATTTTCTTCAGAATATTATATCCCCAAAAAATTGCCAAAAAAAATATGGCAACACCGTCAAAGCACCACTGGTACCCAACGCGTCAAGTCTCGGGATCGTTTCTACAGCACGAACAACATTGCCATATTTTCTCCTGCTACATAGGCAGCACTAGACGTGGAATAACTATCAAATCTGACAGTTAAGTGGAAACTGCTCTCAAACTGACAAAGCTATCCGATGGCTACTCGTGTGGCGCTGCACCGCTGGACAGCTTTATGTTGGCTAAACGCGCTCAATATAAATCTTGAAGATAGCTATAAAAACATCAAGTATTTCTATCAACTGTAACCAGAAAGGCTCAAAAAGTACAGACACAACAGGCTTCCTTAAAAATCACATATCGTAGATGAAAGATTTTATCTTAGTGTATATGAAACCCAAGTCTTTATTCCAAATGAATATATGTCTCTTGGAATTTTGATATCTGAACGTTTATAGTCAGAAAAATACGAACGTTTATTGAAAAGCTAAGCGATACTTTTATATTTCAAAAATTTTATAATTATATATTTTTGAAGATACGACTAGGTAGCATTCCTGCATCTATATCTTAATCACATGTTATTAAAATGTTATAGTTTTAAGTACACCTACATTATTATAAATTAAGCTCAAAACATTTTGGAAAGTACAGGTGAAAATCCTATTACTAAACAGTTCCGTTAATGCCTATATCATAAACTTAGCACTTAAACTAATTTAAAAAACACTCTTGGGTGAGTATAAATTTCTTAGGGCCCCTTCTAACTGACACAATATCACTATCACACTGTGAGACAGCATCTACATTTTCACGATGAGATAAACGAACATCTGCTCGTATGCTTGATGTTCTTTCTAAAGATATGCAAATTGTACGGTTATTATTTATAATTTGGCTTTGAGGGCATGACGGTTTCACCTTTTGGAACTTTTTGAAATTCCTTTTCTCATTATCAGCTTGTTCATTATTATCTCCGGTTTGTCTAAGCGTTATTTTCATAGGCACAACTTTGATTGTATTTTTAAAAGCTTCGATTAAATCATATTCTCTGGAATCATCGATAGTAATGATACTGCAAGATTTTCTCGAAATCATCGATGCATTTACTTCATCCGTTTCTGAATCCGCCAGTTCAATGTAATCGATTGGGTTTTTATAGTTTTCTTTACGCTCATCAATTGATGTTGTGCAAGATGGTTTTGATCTTCTCGGTTTTTTCTCACAGAAAGTGTGAATATTCGATGTCTTTCGTTTCAGAGGTGAAATGTTACCGTTGTTATTTTTCATTGCTATTCTGCCCCCAATCAACTGAGAAGGGAGTGGCCCATCAGAATAGAATTTTTTGTCACTTTGTATGACATCTTGTTTATCCGGCTTATTAGCATCTGAGAAATGTAATTCACTTTTAGATTTTTCTGTCTTGCTATCGGACAGGGCATTGGTGGGTATCTTTGTCAAGAACTGATTGTTTCCTTGAGAGTCTATTTTGTTGAAATCTGGATTACAGTATTTATCACAGCTCCCTGATAAGATAGCCAGTGCAATTTCATGCTCGAAAATCAAACGCTGTTTTCTTTCTCCTGCGAGTCTAAACATTTTAACAAATGGTCTGTTATCCATTTTTTCTAGTGGTTGAACAACCATTATATCTGACGACTCGCCCAATTTCTCATTAGATAATGGTATTTCCTTATCTGCAATTACACAAGAACCTCCTAGCTTCAGAATGATAGGTTCCATCAACTTTTTCGTGCCTTGTGAATAAAATACGAACGTTTTGTTTTTAAATAGGCCCTTTCGATCAGCATTTTTCCTCCAGTCTACCTTGCTGGAGATTGACTTTGCTATAGATGGATTTCTAAACATATTCATATCAGGTAAATTTTCACCAGCAGCTACTTTCTTTCTCACCTCACTCCAATAATCCAACGTTACTATAGGAGCGTTACTTGCAATAGCATGCAATACCTTCATAGTCATTCCCACATGTGTAACAGTAAGATGGGTGCAGTTGTAGTCCCAGTATTCCGCCAACTGTCCTCTAATATAGCTTAATTCTGTTTTGAGTTCAGTTTTTTGTCTAAACGTTAAGCGACTTACTGCAGTAATAAATGTATGTTGCTCAAAGATAAACTTGCTACCTAACAGTCCAAATTGAACTACAGTTCTATGTTTTAAGATGTATTCGAAATGTGGCCGTAATTCTTCGCCATCACAAAAAGTACTATACCTAGAGCCAGCATCCATAATAGTTACTGCATCCTTCTTGATTTGAATTAGCGCATGCAATCTGCTGATAGATTGGTCGTTTGCGATTAATATGTCACAGTTCTTACGACCGACTAGGTATTTATCGTTGAATAAATAATAAACTTTGCCAGTAGCACAGCTTTTAAGTAACGCCAACATTATCCTTCGCCGGTTTTAATAATTTTAGATAAAATTTTTGGAGATGATCACTAACTTGTATTTCCCGGAAACAAATGAATTTCAAAATTCGAGCATCTGTCGTTTGTCAAGGGAGATCAAAATGACATAGGGCAAACTAGGCAACCAGTGTTACACACAGAAAGTTTATTATTATTGTTACATTGTTAGTGCTTAATACATGCTCATTTTCTCAATTTTTACAAAGCTGTTTACGAAATAAAATTATGGGTATGGATATGATCAATGCGTGTAAATAAGATCATGGTCATTACGTTGCAGATGGTTGCGCCACATAGACAACAGTAGCTTAACCTAACCTATCGTGAATGTCATGGGGATTCAAGTAATTCAGGTATAGGTATAGATATCTATTCTGCGTTCATGACTAATTTTCAAAAATACAAGAGTGCTTGATCAGAGCCAATAATTTCTATGCAATAGCAGCACTGTTTAGAAAAATATTTTCTATGATGAATTTAAAAATTCGGTCCAAAATAAAATTATATTTATGAATAAACCATTGATTAAAAACACAGTTGATCAATGGTGCGACATCTCAATCATAAACCATCGAAAATAAAACGCTTCTTATGAGAACCGCTAGATTGCGCTTATAGCAAAATTGATGCAAGTAAAAGATGTTCAAGTGTTTTTCTTTAACAAGTTGATAAATTAATTTTAATGCGCTAATATCTTGAACGACTAATTATATAATATCATTGCATGCACATATCCACTCATAAAATGTCTATATTGTTTTGTATGTCACCCACAACATCAATGATCAATTTATCTACCAAAAAATTCAAAAGCTTACCCCGCTTAGGCGGAATGCTTGCGAAAATAAATCCGATTGTAAGAATAAACTAATGTCTAACTGGTACATTTGCCTTCCTATCAGCGTCATCATACAATTTCCTAATTTTTATATAAAAATTCCTATTCCTAAATCTGTGATTGGGATGTTTCCAACTTCCCGCGGCGTCCTTGAACGTCTTATCATTATCACTATTAACATTACGTTTAACGACACGTAGGTCATATCAGCGCAACTCCAACAATCGCTTCTCGGTCTCTGAAAAAATATTTAAACATCAGTTTTTCGTCGTCCGTTGTCGAGTTGTGTTGCCCGCTTCCTTCTTTTATTTAACGTCAAAGTTTTACGATTTTTACTTCTACAAAAATGGCATGCACCGCTCCGAAAAAAGTGTGCATCGTGGGCAGCGGAAACTGGTAATTGTTTTGTTGGATATTACGATTTTTCTATGGATTTTTCATTCAAGCTTTACTGCGTCTTATACTCTAACCTCACTTTTTGGATTTCTTATTTATAGATAAGCTTGTTAGGTAACTTCAACCTTAATAGATCCATTAGATTATGTACTGAGCGTTTTGTGCAAATTTTTGCAATATGATTTTATTCCAGGGGATCGGCAATTGCAAAAATCGTAGGAACCAATGCTTTGCGACAAAAGCACATCGACGACAGGGTCACTATGTATGTTTACGAGGAAATGATAAATGGCAAAAAGTTGACAGAAATCATTAATGAACAGCATGAAAATGTTAAATATCTGCCTGGTCACAAGTTACCGCCCAATGTAGTAAGTTCTGATTTTATCTATGTTTGCTCTGTAACCAATCATTCCTTGCACATCTAGCATGTGATTAAAGTTTCTTTCCTATGGAAGAAAATATGTTTTGAAAAGTTATGAAACATTGTAATAAAATTTGGCATCATCAAAAGCAATGATAAAGTTTACTGCATGCATCAGGTAAACTGGATAAATGCCACATTGTTAGTTGTAGCAGAGCTCAATGTTTTCATATTATTTATTTTGCTGTACATATTGTTTATTTATAGGAAGATGTTTACAGTGATTTGTGAACAATTTTAAACTCAAAAATTTACATGTTTGGCATATTTGGGCATTTTAGACAATGTCTAGAGGATATCTGCCATATAACCACAAAATTGGATGTTTTTGAGATATTTGACAACATGTAAAATGCCATGGCAGTCCAATGTGAGACCGCTTGATAACAGGCCTTTCATGCCACTGCAGTCCTTATGGATTGCTTTGTATTTAGTTTTAATGTTAGATATGGACCACTATATCATGCTAGACATATGTTTCCCAGCATTTAATGTGTTAATAAACTTTATCTGAAATTAATAACTTTCATATTAGAAAATTTCACTTGAACAATTAAAAACAATAAATGGATGATGGTATCGACCAGTGTGGGTTGAAACATGCAAAATGTATATCATGCATCATTATATTGTTTTTTAATGTATCTGGCCAAATGTCAGCTTACTTGATTCTCAGATGAAAGGGTAATATAAGCAACAAAGAGTGAGGGTGCAAACTTTTGTTGGAATATTGATTGTTTGTAAAATTTGATTAATTCTGCAATTAAACTGTTTGATGGTTTTGTTTAATATTTGCCTACACAGATCTAATGCTGGAGATTCAGATTGAATCAGACAAAAAAAACTACATGAATAAAATCCCTAAGGTCAATTTTTATAATTTATTAAAATGTTTTTCTTTAATGATTTTGCTTAAATCAGCCATAGCTAGATTACAACACTTCATACATATATATATATATAATCATGCGGAGAAAGGTATATATAACAAAAATAGGAAAATAGTGGGCAAAATCCGCAAAAAGTGGAATCGAGCAGAAAATAGGATAGGTATCATATATATAAGTAGTATAATAATAAATAATAAGATAATAAGTAAGATATATATATATGAAGCAAAAAATACAATTAATTGTTAATTTTTGCCAATTTTCGAATTAATAATTAATTGAATTTATATATATATATATATATATATTTGATAAAAAAACTAATATTAAAAAGAAGTTTTTCAGTCCATCTTAAGGCATTACCTGACTTATGTTTATATGAACTTTTCTTAGAGTCATCCAGTTTAACCAGGCTGTTTATCATTATTAACACCCTGCACATTTGGCATGCCTACCTCAACTTAAAATCTTTTTTTTTTAGGTTGCCGTACCAGATGTAGTTGATGCAGCAAAGGATGCTGATATTTTAGTTTTTGTAATACCCCATCAATTTATCAGGACACTGTGTTCAACTCTTTTAGGAAAAATCAAGCCAAATGCTATTGCACTATCTCTTATTAAGGTGAGTGAACTGAATAACAATCACCATTCATATTAATCCACAAATTTCATACCTACATAATATGGTTGAGAAGCTTAACTATGACTGAGTCAGCTAATTATAAAGACAATTTAAATTGAGCATACCTTATTTTTGTTTAGAAAGAAAAGCTAATTAGCATGAAATCATGAATTAGGTAATGTACTCCTAAGTTCATAGTAATTCCACAATATAATGTTATTAAAAAAATGTGTAATTATCTATATTCAGATTATTCCTGGGTTGTTCAAACTATAAGCAAATTGAAAATATATCTGCCTTCGCAATAGTCCACTCACTAATGGTTTGAGAATTAAAATGATAAAGTATTTATAAAATTATGCTCAGTAATAAAGGAATGATCTAATAATAACCTCAATTATAAATATGCTAATTAAAAAATCAATAAGTTGTGATAAACAAGTCTCACTGCAAGTCAATCATTTAATGTCTACAGTTTTGTTGTGTAACAATTTTGGTTTATACATCATTTATTCATCTGCATTGTATGAGGAAAAGGATATAATGAATGTATGATGTTGATCGAGCATCTAGATAAAAAAAATCATTTATCATTCTGTTGGACCTTGAAATACACTGCAATTGCTGGCGCTCATTGTTTACTCCATTTTTTCACTCGTCTCAGATTGTAATAATTCAGAATTCATTAATTCAATTAAAGCTAATTTATGAGTTGTATTTCCGCCGACTTTCATTTAATCGAGTTATATTGGTACATGTTGTGGTCTTCCTGCAAAAATGGTTCATGCCTAAATTTTATAACCTACAGTTTGATGTATTTTTATCTCAAATGAAACATTTGGTCCTAGGAATGTATTAGTTGTGTACTACTGTACCTCAATTTCTGCTTTAAGTGCGTGATATTTTTGTTCTGTGAGTAAGCACTGCCAATTTGCCCAAAATATGCATTGTTTTTAGCACATACTGAAATGTCCAATAATTCACAGAATTCAAATCTTTAATTTACGAATTGAAGTTGTAGACCAGTTTAAGGCAGAAATGTAATTTATTCATTTACAACTTTTCTCTAATGTATTCTTGATGTTTGTTTAATCAACACAAAGATTAAAATTTTAATATATCTTATCTATATAAAGGATTCATCTACAGATACAAAATGCTATCTTTGTCTTCTTTTCAAGTATCTTATTTATTGTAGTGATTGATAAATCTACCTTTTGTTTATTATTTAAGAAAGCAAATTTCAACAACACAAATAGTTATACTGAGGATTTATACCTGAAATAAAAACATCATTTCTATTTAAATATTGTTATTCAAAAACTCTCTCTTTTTTCTGCAGATATATAATTTTTGAATAATTAAAAGTTTTTAGAAACAAATAAGTACTGTCTACCAATGGAAATATTCGTTAGCGGTCTATTTTAATCACAGAAATTTTCAAGTTCAAGATTTCCGTCGGTTTGCCCTCTCTATGCATAAGCATTTTTGACGCGCAACCAGCGACATACAGTAGACCATAGAGACATAGTTGAGCTTTCTATATTTTTGTTGAAATCTCTATTGAGGGATTATTAAGTAGAAAATAGAGCAATCGTAGCGTTGCCATATTTTGTGGTTGCAAGGCTATGAAACAAATAGTGTCAAGTAGGTTGACTCTGCAATTTCTATACAATGCTGAAATCATTTCATACAGGACACAACTTAGCCCCTGTGAGCAAAAAGTTCGCCAGGATCACGTATAAGAAAAAATTAAATGTCAATCAATCAAGCCTACATAATTAGTCCATAATATTCACCCATTTGGTACCTTGCGATCTAAAAATTTCTCCCGGAAACATATTCGTCTGTCTAGGCATTATTCAGAAATTCCTATTCCATTTTCAAGGTAAATATTCGGGAAAACCTATGATGGGTGAAATATGCCTGATAGGTGCGTATAAAATTAGCGGAGTTGAAAGCATAATATAAGTATACTAGTGCCAAAATAAATAAGATATACCCTCCCCACACCTTACATTCCCTAACCTCCAATTTTTAACCCTTGCAAATTTTTTTCTGAAAATGACTAGGAGCCACTGAAACGTCAATGAGGTTAGAGCAATTATTTTCTTCGTTTTTTGACTTTAGCTCCGCCGCCACCGGTTTTCAAAAATTGCAAAGCTTTTCTGTCATTGGCGTAGTAGTAACTTTGTATGGAAAATTCATCAAAATCGGCCGGTACTTTTCAAGTTATAGATGGGTCAAAGATTAGCGGACAGACAGACGGAAATAACATCCAAAAAACATAATATTTCATTTTTTAAATCTTTCGCCATTATAATACTTTCTCGCCAGTTGTGTAGGAATTAAAGCAAAAAGCGCCCACAAATAAAAATTATTCAGTGCGAGCAAATTTGTTTACATATTTTCAAATTGCTATTCATTTAGTACATTCTAAAAAGTTCCTCAGATTTTGTACGTGGCTTGCATAATAGTAGGGGAGCCCGAGAGGCTAGGTGGGGAGTTTCTCGAGCGTCGTAGGGACCTCTCGGGATTTGAACATGAGATGGTAGATTACTGGTGCGGGGAGCCTCTACAAGTTTTCAAAATGTAAATGTAAATACGGGATAAAGCAGGTTGACGGCAACGTCGTTTTCAGTTCATGAGGATTATACTCAACACAAACTTGACCCTCTGAGGAAAAACAAGTCAAACAGGTCCATTCAAGTCCATATGCATACTTTCCCTGCCGAACTGGTGGTCCAACTGGCAACGTCGCCTCTCCCCGATACCTAACCGGGTTAGTCGTGGCACCGAGACCACAGCATATGATTTGTGTATTATGTCTAATAGATGCGTAGGTTTACCAAGGTTGGAAGCGTATAGATATTATTTTTACGAAAACTGTGCACTCTAGCAAAAAATACGTGAGTAATTATTTGTAGCAGATTGAAGGAAAAAATCGAAAAATTGCCAGCTTCGAAAAGAAAACAGTGGCGTACTATTTCTATTTGGAAAAATAATGCCTCTAATCCCCTGAAAAGCCGTAGGAACTTTCATTATTTCTATAAAATTGTAATAACCGGTATTAACAATACTCGCGTGGAAAAGGTTATGACAAATATTCAAGATTAGTCTGGGAAAACGTTATTGCGGAATGACCGAATGACATAGTGAGTGTCATTGCCAAATAGCTTTTTATATCGTTCATGACCTTGTCTGTGACGTATTTGAAAAAATTGGCTAGCAAGTTCACTACCTCCACTTCTCTATTTTTAAATCGCACGTTGCGTATCGGTAAAAATGTACCATGGAATGACGGAAATGTTACATGATTTATTTGGTTTCATCAGACAGCAGATAAAGTTTTTATCATAAGTTCTGTGTGAAACACGAGTCGATGTTGTATTTTAAAATGTTCAAGATAATGACTGTTACATAACGTATTCTCACGTGTTTGTCAACCACACACTTGGTTTTACGACCATACGTTGACATCGTAAGAATCATCTTTTTGTGTGATAGAATGAAGTAGAGGAGAGTGTTAACAAAATTCTTTCATGAGACATGCAAACAATGCAGTACAAAAAAGAACTGTGTTGTACTTCTAACCGAAAAACCTAGGAATAATTGAAATTAATTGCTCTCTCGACCAACACGTTGTAGCTATCCCGCGGTTCCTTCTAACCTACCTGCTTCCCAAAGATAAATAAAGTATGGTCCAGAAACAACAATTAACGATTGATAACAGAATGGCGCAAAATTAATGTTATGGTTCAAATTATTTTGGACCTTTTTATTTAAACGCTAATTAAAATGAATTTGTTTTAAAAATAAGATTTACTAATGAGAAATTAGAAATGAATGATTTCGGGCGGTTACATCAAGAACATTGCCCTTCAAATAGACAAAAGTTTCTTAGCTTGCTCATATACACATGCATACTGCGCAGGCTAACTTAAATGGGCTCTTCTCCAAATACTGGGGTCCTCAAGAACCTCCTTACAAGAGCCGTTGGCTTACTCCCTTGAAGTGTGTACTGTAATTTCATCTGATTAAAACCACAGGTTTGGATAGTTTTCCACAGCTCTCAAATTTTGCAGTATTAATCGATTTTGAGCATCGGTAATGGAAACCTTCCGTCGTGTTACCCGTCAGTAACATGCATCTTCTCCCAGCACTACGGAAGTTCAGTACCGTCCTCTGTTGCCAACAATTTCGATCTAGGAGCTGTCTTTTACTGGGTACTCAGTGTTCCGCAGTCATACATTGAAGTAATAACTGTATGAAGTACCCGTCATTAAAAATTAAATTCGAATATCTCGATTTGTTTGGAGGTCAGGAATTAATTAATAACACTTTAAATCTAGTTTTGATTTGATGCTTTTCTAATTAATGAAATGTTCGTGAATAATACTTAACACAAAATAAATAAAAAAAAATTAAGATTTGAATAAATAAGTGAAAGTTAGAATGAACAAATAACAACTTATTTTAATAACACTTTGGCATCGTAAGGTTGATCTGATCTGAAAAAAAACAAATGTCACCTGGAAGACAAATATCAAGCGCACTTGAAAAAGGCCACAGTGGTGGTCGAAACGTCGTACAATAAACTGAAATCTAAACATATGCAGGATTTTGATCCAGACAAAGAGTCATATGAACATGAAAACCACAGGATAAGTTTCATGAGTTACATTAATGGATCTGAAGGAATTAGTAACCTACATATCACATCGTTGGTGCTCTGTCGCGAACATTTTGAATATATAATTCCGTTAAGGCGGCTCCGACGAGTTTCAAGCCATTTACAAGCGTTCAGCTGCTTCGAAACTGACACTCCATTTTTCAATATTTATGAATGGAATTCATACAGTATGTTGAGAAGATAATTGCCCAGGGTGCTATAGGAGCACTTTTTAAAAGTTTGTTTTTGCACAAGTTTTATGATGGGTTGAAGTGCGCACTTTTTCTGTTCAACTTCGCGATTTTTTTAAAAAGAACCTAGTGAAAAAAATGAAAAAGTGACTCTATAGCACCTTGTGGGGTTTTGTTTTCAGCACACTGTGAAAATGCCATCCAAAAATATCAAAAAATAAAGCGTCAATTTCGAAGCGCGCAAACCTCTACAAATCGTATTTTGGACAAATTTAGTCTACTGTTTCGTGCTGCCAACCGAAGCGTTGCGGCGCAATGTACGGACTAAGAAAGGACGTATTCAAATAATTTGGTGGCCCTCATATAATATCGCGTAGATAAGTCGTTCTGCAAATAGGTACTCATAATCGCGATCGCTTATACTCCTCGATTTTAAAGCCGTTTTACTTGCGACGCCATTGGCGAGGAAGTATTGTAATCGCGAAAAATTTATAAAATGAGATGTTATGTTTTTTTAAGTCATATGACATCTACATCACGAAAAACTGTATCACTCATCATCAACTTGGAAATTACCGCTCGGATTTTTATGAAATTTCCACACGGGGTTACTAGTATGCCAAAGCTTTGTAGTTTTAGTCCTGTGGCAACGGTGCTATAGGCAAAAAAGAAAAAGTAACAATTGCTGAAACTCCGTATTTGACTTTTCAGGGGTTACTAATCATTGACATAAAAAAATTGTACTGCTTAAAAAGGGGGCTTGAAATCGGTGAAACACGTTCTATTATTAAGAAGCTTCTGATCCCAGTGATTACAAGAAATTTAAGTAACGAAAATCCGACGAATAATGTGCTCACGATTTGAAAAAATCGGTACCTGTTCTACAGGTTTGACACCAAGAGCCAACAGATCTGCAACTACTGACCGTAGGGAAGAATAAATTCGGATATCACTCCAGTCAAGTATAGGGGAATTTAGCGTGGAACTTTAAAATTATCGATATGTCAAGGAAATATGTTCTTCATTTGAATTTCATGACCCGTGAAATGTACCCATTTCGCCTTTACCTTCAATTTGTGTTCTGCACTTTGTGATGTTTTTCTGGAAATAAGCAGGACATGATTGCCTAGGGTGCTATCAGAGCTTTTTAAAAAATTTTGTCTTTGCGCAAGAATTATGGTGAGTTGAAATGCTTACTATTTGTGCTCAACTTTTTGATATTTTAAAAAGATCCTAGTGGATAAAATCGAAAAAGTGAATCGCTGGCACCCTGTGGACTTTGTTTTTAGCACTCTGCACGAGTTTTATTTGGAAATAATAAAAATGAAACGTGAGCTGTGAAGTGCAAATCGGTTTTTGGGCGAAATTCATCTGCTGTTTTGTCCTGCCAGTCCAAGCGACGCGACGGTGCGTACCGACTAACAAAAAATGTATTCAAATATTTTTATATTTTTCCTAAAATAAATTCAAAAACTCAAATTTGAATTCCTTTATTCATGTCAATAAACACAATTATGTTTACAAGGGTCATGTAGATGGTAACAATTGAACGAGGGTCATAAAAATATCTTATGAGGTCAAAATAAGAGGAAACAGTTAGGTAGTTTTTGCAAAGCAATAAACAGGTAGGTTTATACCTGGTTTAAGTACATGTCTTGTCTACTGTCATAGGTAAATGGAGGTGATGCTGACAGACATGGATGTGTGCGATCAATAAACAAACCACAAGATTGAACTGCCGTGTCCAATGATTTTTGTACTGCCTTTTTTATTGCCTTACTAGAAAACTCTGTTGGGTATATGATGGAGTTAACTAGAACTTTACAGCTTGTCTGCCTTCTTCTACAAACTTCACCAAATCGAGACGATGTCAACCTTATCCTCCGATGAAGATGCCTGTGATTTGGTGACTTGTTCGATCTGCAAAATCTCGTCGTCACTTTTTCTAAGTTTCCCTAAAAATTCTTGCTTAGCAACCTCCAAATAAATGCCGTTCATGTCAGGTTTTTGACAGAATTCGCCATAAAACTATTCATTTTCTTTGGAATTGCTATCCGAATTGTTAGTTATTTTTATATCAGCTTTTTTTGATCGGAGTTTGCGTTTGAGTCTTTGTTCCATCTTAGTGGTAAGCGAGGTTGGACTAAGCTTAGAACGCAATTGTATTTGGACCACATAGACAGGCCGCTCACTACAGCTGCAGCACATCTTCCATGGTGTGGCCTCTTCTTGCAATAATTTATTCGCTTACCCCAATGTATTTTGCGATTATAGTGTTGAACTGCTCCACACTATTGTTGTTCTCATCATGAATTAAACTCACTGCATTCGTAATTAAAATTGTCGCATATGACCTTTTATTGTCCATTATCAACCTTGATAAAAAAGGCACTCAAGAACAATCACACCAACAAGAGTACAGCACAACAATTCAACAACACAATATCGACGAACAGTAACAAGGGTAGAACAATAGTAAATGATCACTTGCAGAGTACCAAAATAGGAAACGATTTACAGGCTAGATCGCTAATCGAAATCCGACTCTGTTATTATAAAAATTTACCTCGGTACGCACCCGCAGTCATCCTTTCCTCTTTTAAAGTAGCGCCGACTACCGTCTATGGCCTGCTCACCCTCGTTTCCTTTTCACCCCCCCGCTATGTACAATGTATGGAGGGGCATTTTTATTTTTCTACATTTTTTATTGAACATCATCGCTTATTATCATTTTTTTAGTTTCAAAATTTGTATGAACTCAGTTTATATTGCTTCATCTTTTAAGGTCTTCAGTATTTTTATGTATACTTGAAAATAGATTTATTTTGAAAGCTGACGTAGGAAAGTGGGCCGCGCTTAAAATTGTTTTATTATGAAAGTAATACTTACCCAATTTTACTGAAAGTCGTCCATGAACAAATGTTATATGTTGACCTCACCTTCCTGTAGTAGTAGTAATAATGGTTGACAAATGACAAAGCAATCCGTTTGACGCCATTTTTTATAACTAACTCGTATATTTTAGGGCTTCGACCGCGCTGAGGGCGGCGGTATCGACCTGATTTCGCACATCATCACCCGCCACCTGAAAATCCCATGCGCTGTTCTGATGGGTGCAAATCTGGCCAACGAGGTGGCCGATGAGAATTTCTGCGAGACCACAATCGGCTGCAAGGATGTACGCTTTGGACCCCTACTCAGGGACATCATCCAGACTGACTACTTCAGGGTTGTTGTCGTTGACGACGAAGACACCGTCGAAGTTTGCGGTGCTCTTAAGGTAAGAGTCACACAAAAAGCTCGTATAATTGCTGATTCTTATATGAGGCGGTTTTTAATTACCGATCCGAAATGACAGCTCTCCTGTTGAAGCTTCCATCCGTCCAAACAATGAAGACTTGATGGGAATAGGAAATTTTTGAGTAAGTGCAGTAAAAAACAATATTAATGAAATAAAAACAAAAACAGGACAGAAAACAGACAATATTCAGCAAATATGTGATGAGTTCATAGAATTTTTCACGAATATAGGAGGAAACTTAGCAAATAATATCAAACAAAATGCTGATATTCATCTGCATGAAACAAGACTGAATAATTCATTTGTATTAACTGAAGTAGACTATCAGGATGTTTTCAATGCCATTATGACTCTAAAAAATAAAAAAAGCCCTGGAGTTGACGAAATTAGAGCTGAACATCTAAAGATACTGGCCAGACAAATAACAGAACCACTTGCTTATATCATTAACAAATCCTTCCAATCTGGAGTATTTCCATCAGCTTTCAAGACAGCAATCATCATACCTATCTATAAATCTAATGATAATACGGACGTCACTAACTATCGACCTATTTCACTTATATCAAGTTTAGCTAAAGTTTTTGAGAAATTACTCCTTAATAAAATGATTAATTTTCTTAATAAATTCAAAATTCTAAATTCAAATCAATATGGTTTTATAGCGGGCAAATCTACAACAGATGGGGTATTAAGTATAGTAGATGAAATAACCCAAAATATAGATGGAAAAGTACCATCGATATGCGTATTTGTGGACTTACAAAAAGCGTTTGACACAGTTAACCACAATATACTTTTGGAAATCTTAGAAAGAATAGGTTTTCGTGGAAAGATGTATACTTTAATGGAAAATTATTTATCAAATAGACCGCAATCAGTAAAATTATTAAGCTCGTATAGTAAAGAAGTGTTTGTTAAATGTGGTGTTCCACAAGGTACAATTTTGGGTCCTCTGTTATTCAATATTTATTTAAACGATATATTCAAAATTAACAGTACTGGTAAAATAGTCAGTTTTGCAGACGATACTGCTATACTCTATAAAGGTAAGGATTGGAACGTCTTAAAAGATATTATCCAAAATGACTTTTGCAAAATTATTCAGTGGTTTAATAACCGAAAATTAACAATTAACTTTACTAAAACTCATTTTTACCATTTTCATCACTATCTAATCATCTACCAAAATATAACCACCTTCGGTTTAAGGTAAATGATAAAAATATAAAAATCAATAGAGTTAATGATACAAAATATTTAGGAATTTATCTAGATCCCCACTTGAGATGGGATGTACATATTTCTCACATACTAAAGAAAATTAGATTCATAGCATATAAAATAAAATTTCTAACCGGTATATTAACTGAATATTATCTACGAATAATATATCAAGCTTTAGTCGAGCCACACATAACATATGGTATAGTAGTGTGGGGTGATGCATGCACGACATACTTTAACGATTTAGATGCACTTCAAAGAAGAATTTTAAAATCAATGTTAGGCAAATCAAAATTATACCCAACTAATGACTTATATAATGATGCACAAGTATATGATACTAAACAACTTTACTTCTTACATACCATCACTCATTATCACAAAACTATTAGTGAACACGACATAATTAAACATAATCACAAAACCAGATATAAATTACGCGCAAAAAATGTTCCTAAACCAAACAAATCCCTAATGAAACGATGTCACCTGTATATAGCTCCAAAATTGTACGAACATTTACCAAATAATTTAAAACAATTACGCAATACATTAGGCTTCAAAAAAAAAATTAAAAAAATTTATTAACACGATTGGAAGAAATCAAATTAATAAAATAATCTCAAATATTACACAATAAATGCTCTACCATTCTTACCAATAATTTCTTTTTTCTCTCTATTTTATTATATTTTGCAATTCAACATACATATGATCCATGCACAGGCGTTGTCCTCCTATGGATATATTATATTTATTTACTCGTTTCATGTTCCCTGTATTTTAGAGTAAATAAATATTATTATTATTATTATTATTATTTCATCGCATTACTCAATAAGTGGCTATTTACTATTTTTAGGTGTAGCTAGAAGAAATATTGTAAACAATAATGCAAATATAAAATTTTTGTGGAATTTCCGCATTTCATACTTTTATTGCTGGTTTTTATTACTATTTGATTGTACTCTTTTGGTATCTTAGATGTCCCACGAACAACTGCAACAAAAGTTGACATTAGACAATTATGAATCACACAATTATATTATAACTGATGGGAACAATTTCTATTAAAATCCGCCATTTCGATTCTTAAAAATTATGATTTTATAAAATTTTAATATACTCAGCGTCACTCGCACTGCTAAGACGAATCCAACAATACCTCATTTGTCACAATCCACCAAGTCTTTTGCACTTGAAATAGATTTTTTTATCCACATACGAACAAGCGCGAAAAACATAACCCTCCTGTATCTTGCGATAAATCGTTAAGATTATATTGAATTTCGTGTAACGATTTGCAGAAGTTTTCTTGACGTTTATTGATTTGCATCCGCTTACTAGAGTTGAAATACAAATCTTCGAGATTTGCTTTTTTATTTTTTTTTTCCACAAAAATTGTAACGATTGCCATCTCATTATTTTACGTGATAAACTACATATCGAGTTCATGAAGGTAATTTGTAAAACTGCACATCATTTAGTTTCATTAGAATGGTGATATTTTGAGGCAGAATCTTGAATCATCTATTGTTTATATGGTTAGTGCTTCAACCTTAACAAAATTTTTTTTCGCAGAATATCGTAGCATGTGGAGCTGGTTTCGTAGATGGTCTCGGTCTTGGGGACAACACGAAGGCTGCCGTCATCCGACTAGGCCTGATGGAGATGGTAAAATTCGTAGATGTCTTCTATCCAGGTGGCAAGCTGTCCACTTTCTTTGAAAGTTGTGGTGTTGCCGATCTTATCACCACCTGCTACGGAGGCAGGAACAGGAAGGTCTCGATAATTTCACTAATCTTTGATATTTTTTAGTAAATCCAAATTTTTACATATATCCAGTAAGAATATCATAGAATATGATATATCATTGTACTTCTCTCTGTTTTGCATTTTACTCATGGTTATAACTTTATCATGGCCTTAAATAAAGTTTCAATGATACTTCTATTAATGGGCGTCCGTAGGGGAGGCAGGGGGAATGTGGCCCTCTCTGAGAATCCAGTTGGACTTTAAAATTTGCATGATTTTGTTTAAAAGTTTGGGGAAAAGTTGCTACCGCCGGCTCTTCAGAAAGTTTTTGGTTTAGATACACTTTCACAAAAAGTTTTCTCTCGCCTTATAAAAATTCCTGCGGTTTACCATGCTTCTATTCATATCAATATTACTTGGTATAGGTCAGCGAAGCTTTTGTAAAGACTGGAAAATCAATTAAAGAATTGGAAGATGAGATGTTGAATGGACAAAAATTGCAAGGACCTTTCACCGCCGAAGAAGTCAACTACATGCTGAAAAACAAGAGCATGGAAGACAAGTAAGTGGTCTGCATTTTTCGTTACTTTCATATTTTCTGCACACAAATATGATTTCCTAATATACCAAACATGTCAGTTTTAAAGGCTTTACACGGGCGGATAATCCTATTGAAAAGATTGCATCATACCAAGTACCCGACATTGATCTTTTAATTTTGTATTTACAAAGACTTTGACCTCCTGTAAATAATATTGGAACAGGATTAGCTTGCAAATTAATATATAACCACTAATTGGTAGGTATTCCGCCCGTTCGACTACCTGTTTTAATATTCAGTATTCGGTCGAATATACTGAACTATTCGGCTTAATACCACTCATGAAAAAATACACGGAATTACTCAAAATAAGGATATTTTACCAAAAAGCATTACAATCGTTCTTGAAATTTAGCATATGTAAGTTATGATGAATGAAACTTTGTTAATAGCAACTAATTTTTATCATAAAATATACCCGTTTCGAATAATAATGTATACACTGCTAACGGGCAATGATTGTTTCAGAATACTTTCAGTTTTAGATACTCTTGTACGTTTGTTGACCACCATTTCAAAAGATCCACGGCCCCGCTTAGGCGAGCCTCTTTTAGAAAAAAAAATTAGTCTTATTTCCAGTCGCTTTACTTTTCCACATATCTCTCTTCCCCAAAATAAGTCTAAGATATTACTGCACTCCCTGCACAATGACCTCGACGAGGAACAACACATTGCAAGATCTGTCAGGAGATATTTTAGAGCCAACGGAGTCAGTGGCAGTAGCGCCTCCCTTAGTGATATTCCCTCAAATAAGTCTTCAGAAGAGCTGCATGGCACATCAGCGAAATCTCCTGAGATCCCTCATTGCACACCACCAGAGCTTCAAGGTCATATTAAAAACCTCAAAGTTCGGCTATACAAGATGGTTATTACACCAGCTATCACTTACGCAAGTGCTGCTTGGTGTTTTCTCGCCAAAACGCATTTGCAGAACAGAACCTTGCGTACAATCACTAACGCCCCATGGTATGCCTCCACTTAGACTCTTCACAGAGACCTTGACATCCCTTACCTGAGGGACCACATCAAACAACAAGCGCAGCTACGTTATAGTCAAGCAGAATCGCATAGCAACATTTTGTTGCGCGAGTCAGTAGACTACACAGTCGAGCAAGTTCGCAAGCACACAAGGCCGCGACTCGCAATGTGAACGAAATTAAATCGTGCGACTTTAGGTCCAACCAAAATCATAATTTTTCTTCAACAACCAATCTCGAAATTAATTGTGGGATCAATTTAAAATTGCCGAATACTAATTAGCAACACCAAGGCACCCCTCAAATTGACGCAATTCCTTTTTCTTTGCTCTCCCTCCTTCCTTCCTTTCTTCTTCCCTTCTTTCTCCCCGGCTGTGTCTGGTATCTGGGCAACCAGACCTGACAGACTACTGACTTACAAAACTTTAACCAAGAGCAAAGGTCCTACGAACCGCTCTGACAGACAATGAAGAATAGAGAGTATTTTTCAACGGTTTTGTCATTTTCATCATTTCTTTTCTTGTGGAATAGACTAGACTGCAATGAGACGGGTCGCGCCTGTCACCCACGAAACGTGTAACTATAAATGGAAATCGGTCAACAGCATAGCCGGATATTCAGCCCATATTCATTGTCAATATTTGCGGTAAAAATTGGAAAACGCACATAGGTCACTTCGTGAGAATTTTCAGAAGTTTTTTGTAAGATAGATAGATATTGTAATTAAAGTTCTTGTTGTTATACTTTTTTAAGATATACAGAATTTATTTCATTTACTTATAAGTAAAGAATCATTTTTCCAGCCAAAGGGGCGTTATCTCAGAAAATTTGTTAATTGTTTAATTTTCCAAGTAATTGTTGGTCTGCTAACAGCAGACTTTATGTGAAAAAAGTTCAGATCGACTTTTGAATGTTGGCCACCGCCTACAAAAGTTCCCTGAATGTCCATGCCTAAAATTGATGTAGATTATGGCACAAATATTAGGTGATGGGATGAAGAAAATAACTCGAAACGTCAATAAATAAAAACAACTAACTTAAACATTATCTTTTGACATATTACCAGCTAGTGTTGATGTATTATGATACACAAAAAAACGAAGGCATAATTATTAATAATTAATTCCATTTCATGGGCTAATTTCTAAAAAAGTTTTGGAATTCTGGTAATATTCCATTGTAAAGGATCGCCTAGATTCAAGCTTTCCGGTTGTTTTTCTCTTGGCAGTAGTTGTTTCCATTTGTCACGATATATATACATTCTCTCTGTTTTTGAAAACAATTTTTTCCTGTTTTCTTGCAGTTTTATATTACTTTCTGATATCACGCGTTTTTTTGCTAACTTCTGCTCATTGGCTCTTTTTTGTTTTAGTTTTGTATTAGGCTCCATCAACAGTATAATCTTCTGGATTGATTTGAATTCTGATTTATTTCCGTTTTTGGTCTCCTTTCTTATGATATTTTGCAGTAACATGCTTACGAATCCCATATGTTGAGAACAAAACTTTGTGTCTTCATGAAAATGATCCCAACATAAGAGGATTTCACATTTGTGGCAGGCGGCCCATACTTCGTCTTTGCATCATCGCACTTCACGTTTACTAAATGGAGAATAGACTCATGAATCATCAGGGAAAGAATCATATTCGTTAGTTTCCGTTTCCATTTCCATTTTCCTTCCATAAGCTTCCTTGGTGAAATAACCATGGAATACTAACCTTAATTTTCAATCCGTTAATACTAACCTACGTAAATTTACGATGGTGCTCTTAACGTAACACACATCCTATGGATATTGAACACAGTACTGTGATCACACTGGCTTAATAGAAGACTAGACGAGAGCCCAGCGCAAATAGTTGTAGTGCGACAATAAGATCGCGAGCCAAAAAACAGTAGCGTCGTAAAATTTACGATGGTTAGTATTCCAAGGTTAAGGGAGTGTCCTCGTCGTCGGAACTACTTATTGCACACTAAGAGACCTATCGTCATTTAGGTGATTACCTAGTAATATCTCAAAATTCCCCATATCGACACAGGACACATAATTCTGACGAATCCGTGAACGCTAGGTAGACAGAGCCGAATTTTGTTTTGGTTTTTTTGTACGCTACAGATTCATTTTTTACTTGCTAACAGCTCTTTTATTTATAAAAGTTCATTTACATACAAAAACACAAAACTTGATGGATACTCGTGAAATAGGTCATATATGCGGGTTATCTCAATTTTTGGTATTTTGTCAGCGACGATTTGCTTGTATTGGTTAATCCTGGTTACAATATATTCCACTATGGTGCCATCAGTGCATTCGATAAGCATTACAATCATGAATAATGTGAGCATGACACAACATATAACATTGATCACCTAAAAATGTACTACATCATATTTTTTCAGGTTCCCATTGTTTACTGCCATCCACAAAATCTGCACTGGGCAACTTCGACCAGCTGGCTTCATCGACTGCATCAGGAACCATCCTGAGCACATGTAAGTTCTTACTTGAGTGCTACTTCCGCCTGTTGAATATTGTTTGTTTTTGTTGTCGGTTGATTCTTGTTCCAAAAGTGTCCCATTGAAATTATTTCAGTCAGAGAATGCTGTTTACCCCAATTAATAGCAAGTAGTAGATGCTCTTAGTATGTTATGTGTAAGTAAATACTCATACCGTTTACTTATAAAAATCGCAGTAAACACATTTACTACTTTTTATTCATAATTGGGATTCTTATATATTCTATAAGCCAATACCCGCATACAAGCCTTTTTACTCTTTACACCGTGTTGAGATATTTTTTATATAAATACTTATATCGTCAATTATTGATTTGATTTTTCAAATTTTATTTATCTGTTAGGCATTTTACACCTCGTATATTTTAAAAAAGTTCATTGTTATTGTTATCTGAAGTGAACAAGTGTTCATGTTATGAAGAATGTAGTTTTAAATAAGAATGTCTAAAATGAGTAAATTTTAAATTAAGAACCTATAATTATCTAATCCATTAGCATTATTTAATCCATGGACAACAAAAATTAAAGAATAAAGTAAAACATATAGTTTGACATGTGACTCAAGTGCATTCCATAAAATGTTTCCGATTAAAAAAACCGTTTCCATCATTTTGATTGAGCGATTTTTTTTAAATTTCTTCAGCATCACTTTTCAGTCAACTTTAATTCACTTGTAAATCATTATAATGTATGTTAGGTCAACATTTGAGTCATATGATTTAGTGATATATTAAGTGATCAGTATTGCAGCAGGTTTTGTGCCTTAGACCCCAGTAAACATATAGCACAAAATGTTTTTATTTTGAAAGAAGTTGATTTTCCAATAACTATCCTGGTCTTTTTTTTGGATAGATATTTATTTTATTTGTTGATAACATTCATTGTCAGGAACATGCTGACAATTATGAGGCTCTGTGAATCAGTCATTAAATCTTGGGAGTAGGAAAAATTATATCACTGTATTTTATGGGGGTCAATTAATGTCGATATCAGTTTGACGCCATATAAAAGGAATTTTGTGCCATAGTTACATGTATATCTACTAATCCGAGATAAGACATAATCTCTAATATGTTTCCAAATACTGTAAATTATGCAGGGTGAAATGATAACCACTTGTATCTTTTTTGCCTGTTATGGTGATAGGATATCTTAGTTGTATTGTATATGCCAAACATCTATCCATTAGGTTATAACTAACAAAAATGTAGTAGGTGTACCTGAAATTCTCGAAATAAGCTCTTTTACTTGAATCATTCTTGTTTCTTATGCTCACTAACTTCATATCAAAAACTTTTTTTATAATTTGACAGAGGGTATCATACCAGAACAGCTTTGAAAAAAGATCAAATGAAGATGATTTTTAAACGTCCATCGTGATAGTTGCAAAGTATGGATATTGTATATTGTCATGACTTTCTTGTATGATGTTCTCTAGTGGTTATAGTTAATTTTCTTTTTCCGATTTAACCTACAGCATGCAATACTTATGGTTTAGCAATAATTTTTGTTGTCATGTTTTGGTTTATTTGTTTTAACGTTGTTATCTTTGTATTTGTGAAAATAAATATTGGCCTTTTTGTGGTGATGATGTATGTATCGTTTTCTTTCCAGATACATTCCCAAATATATCTCCTTCTGACCTTATCCTGCTTCCCGAACTCAACAGACCTATAATCATGTTTTTCTCAGCGATTTAGTATGGTGTATGCATTGTGTTGGTGAAAGGGTAATAAAAGGGATTTGGGTTTCCCAGTCTGGACATTTTTACAATAAATAAACGCATGCATACCTTCCTGTTGTTTTATTTTGTACTCAGTAATGAATCGTATAGATACAAAACCTGCCTACATCATTTTCTTACTCGCCAAATCCATTTTCGTACACTGGCACCCATATTATATAACCTAAGAAGTGATTATATCGATTTCGTGTGACATTATGTAGATTTTTTCTACTGTATGTCTGTTTTCCCCTAGTCACCTTTGAACTAACTGACATTCACTTCAAGCTCACTACTTCAAGTAAAATGAACTAGCGGCGCCAGCGCACTAGCGGCTACCTAGTGCACAAGTTATCATTTTACCAATTTTTTGACATTATATAGCGAGAAGAACCTATATAATGTAAAAAAATGTCAACTTGTGCACTAGGTAGCCGCTAGTACATTCCGCGCCTGCTACAAGTGAGCCTGAAGTGAATGTCAGCTAGGTCAAAGGTGACGTTTTATAGGAAAAAAACCTACATAATGTCAAAAAACCTACATGTCATAAAAATCGATATACCGTCACTTTTCAAGTTATGTAATACACGTACCGTAGTATCAGTGTTTATTGATTCGTCAGTATCAGTGGATTTCTACATAGCCTTATACATCAATAAATACTGGCGTCCAAGCTAGTCGTTCAATAACTATCGCATTTTATTTCAGCTTGTAGCATTCGCCTCTGTTGAGTTTATTGAAATCCGTTTTTGATAGTGATGAAACAGTGTTTGTTGTTACTGCATGGGATCCAACATAAGATATATGGCATATTTTAAAGTGGGGCTATAATTTAAGGTTTTCTTATTGACTTACATTCAGCAACAGGCTCCCAAATCGTTGACATTCACTGGAGTAGTATAAATTACAAATTTTATTAAATGACCAAAAATAATTCGCCAGTAATGGTTTTAAATTCTACCTTTGCTTCTCACATATTGACCAAAGGACCAAATTAGAAAGGTCCAGGGCATAACCCGTCAAAATTTGCGATGTTTTTAGAAGTAGTAGGTGAAGGTCGGGAAATACAATAAATTAATGTCAAGATCAAGCTGCTTTTGGTTTCTGAGATTTGAGTATTTCTACTTACTTACGCATTGAGATGCGTTTTTAAACATTTAATTCATAATAGACGTACTATAAAACTTATCTTTGCTTGTTTGATAAGAAAATGGTGGAATTTCCTTATGCTGAACCTTTATTCTTGACTTAGTGCGTTTCGTATCTATACGGTTTATTGCCGTGAAATATGCCCTGTTTGTTGAACCATCACTACAATATTTGAAGTTTTTCAATATAATAAGTAAATAATTCATTATTTCAGTTATTCTCATGAGAAAAATCAAACCTGCGTTCTTGCTATCAGCGAGACGACTCGTCCGCTCGCCCATTTATTAAATCACGGACGTCGAGTAGTCTTGCAATCTTTTTGATAACGGCTAAAAAACTTTGGTGGTGGCACATAAACAAGTTATCCAAATCTTGATGATAATAATCATTTGCGTAACTATGGTCGTTGATACGGAGACCACGAGGAAAATGGTAATTATGACGCAGGTGCCGGAGTCTATCTGACCAACTATCTTTTTACGGTACCAAGCTTATAAAACAGTATGGGACTAACACCCTGTAATACAGTAGAGTATAAAATATGATGCATAATTAAAGATGTTTATGAAACAAGGATGTTGAAAAGTAAACTTTTTACATATTCTCCAAGAGATTACCAACCCTATTTGGACAGTCACATATATTTCCATCGTCGTAACCATCGCCAAGTAGTACAGCAAATATCTTAGAAGTAATAAAATCAGAATCCATGTTCCCTTAACCTATGGTGACAGTCGTAGAGGTAGCAACCCTGCCGCCTAAAAACCAGGGTCGACACGTAAGTATAAGTGTTTGGTGGCCCTAGGGTTCATATGGCCATTTTCGCGCAGGTTTGGCTTTTCAATTGAAATCGATATCTTCTCAATGCAGTAATTTTTGAAGTTTATAAAAGTTTTTGTCCAGAAAATTACTTCACGTCTTCAGCACTATTTGAGCTACTAACGCCAACGTAGTGTACCTGCATCGTTCTTGTTTACTGGTCCTCACTTAGGCTAATGTCTGACGTAACCATAGCGAATCGTGATCTATCCTGCCTATTAACCTATAGAAGCACTGGCAGTGTCGCATCAGCATTTACATACTTGTCAACAGGAAGACGTTCAGATCCCTGTTTTTGGTAGTTTTTTACCGCAGGCCTGTATATTTGGACCAATTAAAATTGTTGAACGACACAGTACCAGTGTATTGTGGGAATGGTAGTAATATGTATGTCACTAATATTCTAGTACTGTGTCTTAGTAGTCTGATTTTATCATACATAATCTTACTAAACATTCCATTTGAATACGTATGCAATGTAGGTATAAGGATGATTCTTTTGAAAGAGGAAGTGTTAATCTCATATTGAAAATTTTGTTCTAGGAATTCAAATTTAGACACATACAAGTCAGGCCGATCCATCCACAATAGCAAACTTTAATATGAGTTCATTCAATAAGCCTATACTAATCTTAAATGTTCAAATTTATGCATGTACTGTTATATTTATTGTAAAGTTCAGTGATGTTTTTGTAGTCTTAGTTACGTTAAATCAGTGTGTACCCATTTTCAGCGAACTTTTTATTAGTTAGCTAGCATATACTATCAAATGTACTGTTTACCTCGATCAATAATGCTTGAAGCCATACGCCATACCAAAGTATCTTATGTAATTGTAATATTTTGATCATATCTGACCTTGCTTTATTCAACCAGTAACGACAGCACAGAAAATAATCAGCGATGAAGTTGAAATAAGTTAGGTCAGAAAAACTTTAATAACAATACATAATTGTCAATGTCAGTATAAGAGATGTTCTTATCCTATTTAAGCAAATACTTTGGATATTGCTAAGTCAAGCAACATGGCATTGAGGTTAAAATGCAATAATTGTGTAGCATTTATTAGGATAATGAAAATGTTTTTAATCGTTGCTGTTAATATGTGATGGAATTTGAAGTATAGGTACTAATGCAATCTCATGGAATGGATATTCAATTCGAAAAAATCCCGTTATGTATAGTATGCAAAACATGTATAAAAATGTTTGACAGTTGGCAAAAACATTTTAATTTTCTTGTTGTCACGTCTCTGATGAACATTTTTGAGATAAGTTGTTAATTGCAGATTATGGTAAAGTTTGATTTTATCCCATAAGGAAAAACATGTTTCGCATTTTTTCGAATTAAAAATCAACCCTATGTGAATAATTTGAAAGTTTACCAAAACGTGAAAGTATTTCTATTTGGGACCTGTTTAAAGCGAGAGATTCCTTGATCATCAATAAGGGTTTTAGTGGATTAATGGTATGACAGTACAATACCACCATTACTTTCATAATATGTCTACTAAAAGTACATTTAAAATCTTCCGCTTTATACAGTTTAGGTTCATTGCAATATTTAAGCGTAATAAGTTTGTAATTATATCAAATCTTAGAGCATATTTTTTTACTAAAACACTATTGAATGCACAATTTGAATAGTTTGTCTGCAGTATCATAATATAAAGTAAAAGAGTCTGGAGAAGAATTTGAAAGTTTTTGTTTGTAGTAAGTCAATTAATGAGTGTATACAGGTAATCTACTATGGTGTACATTGACCCCCACTATCTTTTTTGTATGATCGTTTAAAACAAAAGGTTGTAAGCAGAACTTGTAGGGTCCTCATGACATATCTTTATTGTCTCAAAAAAGTGTTATCCAATAAAGTTGTATGTTTTAAATGGAACTTATGTATATTTTTAGTGAAGATGATGGCGCTTTTTTTCCGAATGTATATGGTTTGTCATACTTAATACAATCACTTTAATCAAAAACTTAAATTTTGTGAGCCATTTATTTGTGTGTATCAGTGGTCAAACCAGTGTGGACACCCGCCTATGCTATCTGGTATTAAGGTCGAATACATATGACAAAATGACAGGCATAATTAAAATGTTCAACTGAAACAATAAAAATAACTAGAACAAGCCATATATTTGTATCAGAAGAAAACCTACGACCATTTGCACTAAAAATATCCAGGGTGTTCTATTTAAAAAATACAATTGTATTATTATTTATTAGACCATATAATTATTGGATACATATTTTTTTCTAAAAGGTTAAGAGGGGGGTCAACTATGTAAGTGGACCTCGTACAAAGTGGCGTGGATGTATAGCAGAGGTTCAAGATATGGAGATTTATTATTGGCTGTGATATGCTAGCCCATCGTTTTGGGGTGAGCGGGGAAAGTAATCTTTTTCAAATTGGTGCAGGTGATGCATTTTTCCTTAGTAAACATTTTATATTTCTCTAATAATGTAGTAAATACAGACATATTGGAATATACATAGCTGTTTTGGTTGATACATAGTTTCCGTAGTTTCTAAAGTAATTTTATTAACGCGTATTAGACGCAAACCTGGCCTTGCGAATTGAAAATATCCCAGTAATCAAGATTTCTTATAAAACAGAAAATAATGCTTGTACTTTAATTGCCAGTATTTTTAATAAATCATAAAGTTCAATTAGGTAAAATAGTGGTGTGGAAAAAAATGTGCACTAAGATTTAGTGACAGAGAATATTAAGCTGTGTAAGAGGAACTCATTTGCATTTATTTTTTCAGGGTAAAAAATCCAGAAACAGAAAGCATTTAATGCTTTTGTTAAAAAATTAGTGCCATTTAGGTTTATTGCGGACTATTGTACAATAACTGGTGAATTTATATATTATAGCAAGTACGAATAAATCTACTTTCAACAAAAATGTGTTACTATATGATTGCTATCAGATATGCGGTACATATAACTAGCACCAGGCGCGGCTCCAGGGGCATGCTTTGGGGGGTATTGCCATGTTTGCGCTTATTATATAGTAATTAAGAAGGGGAATAATAAACAGGATGCACATTTAAGTTTTCAAACAAAAAACAATGAGGTCTCTCCTTTCCCCTTTCCTCATTTTTTCCTGCAAGTCTGAGGCTTTGTGGGGGCAATGGCACGTCCCCCCCCCCCTTGTTCCGCATTCCAAGTCGGTTGTCACACTGACAGTAACAAGCATAGACCATAAATACTCATACGTTTGCGAGAAAATTTTCGGCGATACGAAACTAAAGAACGTATGTCTGAACTTATACAAACAAACATCCGCGCACAGAGGCAGATTGTATATGTCTGTGTGAGGGAGATGGGTATGTCAAAGTGATGCTGGTAGTTTTAGTGTGATCCGCCAAAAACCGTGAAATGCACTATAGAAGAGTATGATATTTTATTAAGACTACATTCATATAAACAATACATCCTTGATGTTTTGTAATTGCAGTTACTGTTTTGGGTTAAAATGAAACACAGGTCACAAAGGGCTGGATGACTACGAATAGCACAAATGAAATCTGATTGTTGATTAAATACTCGAACACCCCGATAACGTGGCAATCACGCATTTTTGTGAAAAAATGGTTAATGGAAAAGTTTCAGTCTATTAAAAAGCAATTTGTTGATTATCTCTAATATAACCCATGCAATGACCTTAGAGTTCATTTGGAGCTCAAGTTTGTACATTCTAATAGAAACACTACAAACGACAACAAATCCGTATGGAGCTCAGAAATTTAAATCGGAATGTATTTTCATACATGACGTCAAGTGGTCTTAAGTGGTTGAATAAGGTGGAATACATTATTAGTCATTGGTATCACATACTGTAACGACTGAAAAGTACACGAACACCTGAGGATAGCTTTAGGTGATCTAAAAAGATAATAACCTCAGACGTTACAGTAGGTCTCTAAGGTCATTGCATAGGTCATATTTGAGGTCATCAACAAGTTGTTTTATGATATCCTGAAACTTTTCTTAAAATCTTTTCCCCTAAAAAAATGCACGGTTACCAAGTTTTAGGGATGTTCGGGTATTTAATAGATAAATATACATTCAGGGTGTTCATTTAAAAACTTCTCACCACGGATTTATCGGAAACCGCTGATTAAAAGAAAAAACGCCGAGACACGTCAAAAGATTTGTCAAGGGGGACAACTTTTTAACCAAAAACTACTTCACCCTCGGACTCAGGGTCATTCCCTCAAAAATTTTAAATGACAAGGGGTATCGAGTAAAAGATTGTTTGAATGGTCATTCGAAGTACTTTATTTGACTTTTGATTTTCTTAAATCAGTCGATTCGCTTTCGAGAAAATTAGAAAAATCTTTATCTTAATTTGTTCAGATAGAAAACAAAAACACACGAAATCACTTTTTATTTCAATAAGTTTTCAAAATGTTGCCCGTTAGGGTTTGCCAAATCTACAATTCGTTTATAATTTAAAACTGAAACTACCAACATAAACAGTACTTCGGAAGATTATACGTGGCAACAAACCAAATAAATAAGTAAAATTTTTTGCGCATTATTTTCATCAACAACATATCCTGGGTGAACTGTATTTATTGTTATATCTGTTATTTGTTGCTAAGGGAAAGCAAGAATTTAATTTGCTGTCGGTTACTTTTGTGACATTCTTGGGATAATGAAAATTAATTTATTGATTCAGATTTACTTCCAAAATGGTTTACACACTAGCCGAAAGAGTGGAAATGATTCTAATTTATGGTGCACAAAATCAGCAAACTGCCGTCACGTTTAACGCCATACATCCGGCGAAGATAACTTCGCATAGTATGTTTTGAACACTGTTACTAAATTTACGCAAACTGGATCTGTTGCAAACAAAAAAGGTTATCATCGGAGAGTTTTGGATGAAGCCGCTCGTGTTAAAGTTTTGGGTCATTTTGGAATAAATCCTAATACTTCATTACGCAAAATTGTTGCTGCGACTGGTATGTCAATTAGGCTCTGTATACACAGTTATTAAACTCCATAAATTTCATTAATTCAAAATGAAAATATTGCAACAGTTAACTTTGTGAACAAATGGCTGCAACGATTAATGTTAATACCATTCATGTAAAGAATATCTGCTGGATTTGTTAATACGCATAACTGCAGGTATTGGAGCAATGAAAATCCTCATGCTTTTGTAGAAAGGCATTCCCAGTACCCCCAAAAAATTAATGTATGGGCTTGGAATTTTAGGAAACAAAGTGATTGGGTCATCGTTTATTAATGGAAATTTAAATGGAGATAGTTATTTAGATATGTTGGAAAATACCATCAATCCGATATTCACTGAAAGCATTAAAAACCAAATCGAGGAGGCTGGAAACCCTATACTTGATGAGGCTGAAATATATTTTCTTAATATGTTCTTTCGGTTCGGCAATGGCTAGGCGACGAGTTTACAGATAAGTGGATAGGGCGAAGAGGACCTATAGAATGGTGCTAGATCTCCTGATTTGTCGTCATTAGACTTTTTTCTATGGGGTCATTTGAAATCTATTGTTTACTCGCCAACCTGAAAGTTTGGATGAACATGTTTTTGAAAATGTCCGTCAGGAATTTGAACATCGCGTATATCATTGTTTGGCCAATAACGGGCAACATTTTGAACACTTATTGAAATACAAGGTAATATTTTCGTGTGTTTTTGTTTTCTATCTGAACAAATTAAGATAAATGATTTTTCTAATTTTCTTGGAAACGAATCGACCGAGTTAAAAAAAATCAAACGTCAAAATAAAGGACTTTTAAAGACCTTTCAAACAAGCTATTAGTCGATACCCCTTGTCATTTAAAATTTTTAAGGGAATGATCCTGGGGGGCAGATGGTCAAGTAATTTTTGATTAAAAAGTTGTCCCCCGTGACAAATCTTCTGACGTGTCTCGGCGTTTTTCTTTTAATCAGTGGTTTTTGATAAATCCGTGGTGGGAAGTTTTTAAATGAATATATATATATATATATATATAAATAAAAAATGTTCAAAGATCATAGGACCTGATGATGCAAGATACTCTATTCAACTATTTAGAAAAAACCGTTTATGATAGTTTCTAATGGATTCCTACAAAAACCGCTAGATTAGAACAATTTTTAAATTGGGACCTTCGTTATAGTCTCAGAACACCTCAAAGAACCAAATGGTTTAAGCAAAGTTTTCCAGATCTGGAAACACGATCCTAATTCGGTAAAGCATGCATTTTCTAATTTTCTTGGAAACGAATCGACCGAGTTAAAAAAAATCAAACGTCAAAATAAAGGACTTTTAAAGACCTTTCAAACAAGCTATTAGTCGATACCCCTTGTCATTTAAAATTTTTAAGGGAATGATCCTGGGGGGCAGATGGTGAAGTAATTTTTGGTTAAAAAGTTGTCCCCCGTGACAAATCTTCTGACGTGTCTCGGCGTTTTTCTTTTAATCAGTGGTTTTTGATAAATCCGTGGTGGGAAGTTTTTAAATGAATATATATATATATATATATATATATATATATAAATAAAAATGTTCAAAGATCATAGGACCTGATGATGCAAGATACTCTATTCAACTATTTAGAAAAAACCGTTTATGATAGTTTCTAATGGATTCCTACAAAAACCGCTAGATTAGAACAATTTTTAAATTGGGACCTTCGTTATAGTCTCAGAACACCTCAAAGAACCAAATGGTTTAAGCAAAGTTTTCCAGATCTGGAAACACGATCCTAATTCGGTAAAGCATGCGCATGAACGTATTTTCTTCTCCAAAATCAAAATTCCATTGCGCTAGGTTAACGGTGGGCTGAGTTCATAAAAGGCTTAAAACATTCTAACCTTAATTTAATAATTAATAATTAATTTAATAATTTAATAATTTTCAGAAAAGTGACTTTTGACCAAGAAAAGTAGCAAATTTACCAATGTCTGCGCTTCGGGTGAATCAACGGAAATAGTTCTTTTCGCAAAATTTGGCAAACCCTCGAAAGGCAATAGTCGATGTCGTAGGGTGAATTAAAGGATAAATAATCTAATGTAATAAATTATCTTCCAAAGTTGATTTGGCAAACACCTCGAATGGGAGTAGTCGATTTTGTCGGCTTGAGAAAAGATATAATTTTGTGAAATTACGTCACAAGTCTTTTAGGCAAACACAGTATGAGAATAGCCTATGTTGACGGGTGTATTAAAGTTTATTGCCAGATCAGAATTAACTGGAGATTAGGAAACCAGATCTAACTGCAACTGCTAACTGGTATGCTGGGCAGATCACATGGTTTGGTCATTTTGGTTAGGTAATAACAAAAACTTTGTCTATGATGCCTCTCTTTATTGCAGCTAATTGGTATTCATAAACATGTGTGAGTGATTAACGCGATCCTTAGAAACAAAATGTACCTGTCATCCACTCAGAATGGTCACCAAACTCTTGACGTCGTTTAAAAATGATCAATATATATACGAACATGTCTCTAGGCACAAACCAGTTCAATGGGAATACTCAACATACAAATAACAAATATATACACTTACCATTTATTCACATTAAGCAAACAAGTTAAATAAATCAGAAATAAAAAAGGATGTCAATTCAGCTATTATACACATAATTAACTATAATTCATGCACTGTTGTTCTTAGATATAGATCATGTTAAGTACCACTACATATTCCTATGCAATATTTATGGTTCTTCTTTCGATTGAGAGGCTGAGTCTAGGATTACTTCAAAGGAGAATGGTTGGAACATATAACCAGCTCCCATGTAGAATTTACTTTGGAATTCTACCCTAAAGAGGATAAAAATTGTTAATTAAACTGATGGTATAGGCAGAATAAAAACAAAAATGTATATGATAAAAATCAAAATGTGGTTCAAAACTGGTGAAAGTTACTTATTCATGTTAGTCGCGATACTCAGATTTATGGCTCATTCTAGAAAGTGCGATATTATAAATGATCGCGTTTTCAGAATTAACGCTACTGAAGCGAACATTTATTACGTTACACAGTACTTTTGAAGCTGATTAACGTTTCACTGCTACTAACTAAACCATAATCTTAATAAACCCAATGCATGTAACTCTGCACATTAACAAACTTCAGATCTGCATTGATTTGTATTTGTGGAATAACGAATTATGTTGAAAACAAAATGAAATTACCAGTGCAATCGAAGGGTATGGAGGAAGGCGGAGAGTCCCTCCATAAGGACTAGAATGGAGACTGTCAGGCTGGCCCAGAAGGCGAAGATCACATATAGGGCGATACCTCCTGGCCACCCTTCCACTTTCAGCCCTTTGCTCAGTACCATGTTCCACAGCACTTCAGACAATTCTGAAAATTTAAATAATTATTAATACCTATGAAACACCCGAAATTGGCCATTTGCGAGTCGTGTTATGAAAAAAAAAAATATGTAATAAATGAGCAAGAATTCAATATTTTCTTAGATTGTACTTAAAATGTGCAAAGATATTACATAAAATTACAGTTATTCCCGAAAATTTTCATTTCCAGGGCCGAATCGTCAGTCGTTCCTACAATTGTAGGACACCTATTGGCCTTCTTGATTTTCACAGTTTTCTAATATTTCGTGTCAGCGCTCTATTTTGAGATTATGTCACAAATATCTATTTGCATCAAATTTTTTATGCTGTTGATTTATATCATGTTTTATCATGAAATTTAAGAAAACATAACTTCACAATAGGAGAGCGCAGACGCTGACACGGAACAGGTGTAATGTAGAAATTTTTGAAGGAGAGAAGAGACTATGACAATAAAGCAGGCCATAAAGGCGTCCTAAAATAATTGTAGGAACGACTGACGATACGGCCCTTAGAGAAAATCTGGGTCTAGTACATTAAGCATACAGATTGCTAG